TCATCCAAGAAATGTCAATAGTGACCCTTCTCCAGCATCACAAGATCAGTGAGATCGGTTGATGGTTAACCCAGGTTAAGTGCTTAGACAGTGTCTGCCTCTAGAATACATTCGATAAATATAAGCTGTTTTTGTTTCTTTTCATCTGCAGTGCTAGGGATGGAACCCAGGCTGTCCCACACACTCAGCAGGCACTTCAGCTCTGAGCTACACCCCCAGTCTCCATGGGTATAATTAATGTCTAGTGAAGTTAATGTACTAAAGTTAATTAAAGGGAAAGCTGCTACTAGAAACATGGAGAAGACTGCTAGGGTCACTCAAGAGCAGGTCACTCAAGCTCTTTGATTTGGCTCTCCTTCCTGTTGCCAACCCCTGTGTTACAGAAGGAAGATGAATGGTCCCTCCTTCCTCCTTCCCTTTCTGAGCACAGGGTTAGTTAGTTCTGGATTCTCCAGCAGTTCCAGGTAAAAGCTAGGTGTGATCAAAGTAGTCTTGATTTCAATCACATGGCCATTGCACAGAATGTCTCTGGTCAACTTCTCTTGCAGGAAGAGCTCACAAATAAAATTATAGGGGCCAAGAACTACAGCAAAAACAAACAAACAAAAAAAAAACCAAAAACAAACAAGCAAACAAAACCCTGAAAATCTGACTGGTCATAGAACATTGTCAGTATTAAAAAGACATTTGAGGGCTGGAGAAATGGCTCAGTGGTTAAGAGCAATCACTGCTCTTCCAGAGGTTCCAGGTTCAATTCCCAGCATCCACATTGCAGCTCACAACTGTCTGTAACTCCAGTTCCAGGGTTTCTGACACCCTCACACAGACATACATGCAGGTAAAACACCAATGAACATTTTAAAAAAAGACATTTGAGTACATAGCAATGTGGAAATGTTTCAATAAATCAAAATATGCCGGGCGGTGGTGGCGCACGCCTTTAATCCCAGCACTCGGGAGGCAGAGCCAGGCGGATCTCTGTGAGTTCGAGGCCAGCCTGGTCTACAAAGCGAGTTCCAGGAGAGGCGCAAAACTACACAGAGAAACCCTGTCTCAAAAAACCAAAAAAAAAAAAATCAAAATATATCTATATAGGCGTTAACAATGATGTCTCTGAAGAAATTTAAATTACATAGGAAAAACCCCTAAGGACTGATTCTAAACAAGAAATGCAGAGATAACAAGCTTCAAATTCAACATTAGAAGAGAACATCCTTAACTCAGAAGTTTATTATATTTTCTTGCATAACTAATAATGCCAGGAAACAGAGACCTGCCCCATAGGCTTACACTCTAAGAACAACCAACTGAAATGGGACCCCCAACAATTACGAGAAGCTTTTGGCCTTTACTCCTACAACCTTCCTCTGACATTGATCCTCTCCACTCCATGTTGATAAGCCAAACTTAGGTGAGAACACCCGGAAAATGTTTCTTTGATGTATGATGCAAAGAGAAAAACTGAAGAACAAAGAAAACAATGTTTGTTGGTTTGTTTGTTTGTTTTTGGTGTTTTCAAGACAGGGCTTCTCTGTGTAGCCCTGGATGTCCTGGAACTCGTTCTGTAGGTAGACCAGGCTGGCCCGGAACTCACAGAGATCTATCTGCCTCCTGAGTGCTGGGATTAAAGGCAGGGGCCAAAACAGGATGCTCTTATGCAAATAGCATCATGGGTAGAGGGGAGAAAAGAAAACCAGCCAGGGAGCACAGAGCCTGTGGAAGCCGAAGGTTCTGAGGAACCTGAAGGTGTGAAGTGTTCTTTTGACACTTCACGGATGTGGATATAAAGACTTTAGATATCAAGAGACCGAGGTGTGTCAATGGCAGAGTATGAACTAAAGGCAAAGCTGTAATGACAGAAGATGTCTAAGTGACAGTGGGCTTCACAGGTGACACTGAGGCCAGTGATGAAGTATCTGAAGAGGCCCTGAAAGGGCACGAAGCTGTTGATGTGGGTGATGAATGAGAAGAACATGGGAGAGTCTGAGTGAGCCACCCAGGCATAAGAATTAACTGCAGATAAAAAATCGATTATTTGTTAAAAAGATTTCTCTAATCCCTTAGGGTTCCTGACAAATGGTTTGTTCCTCTGATGTTCAAGTATTCTTCCTGATGTACAGTTGACATGATCAGGTGCATCCTTCCAATGACAACAAGGCTTGTCAAATACTGGTCTAATCCCCTTCAAGATACATCCTCAGAAGAAACCATTCATTTTCACCATAAAAAGGTAGCTTTATTTTGTCAAAGTACAATGAGTATGAAATAGCATGAAGAAGCCTGTGGAAGAAACAAGTAAAAGCTACTCAATAAACATACAAATATTTTGACGCAGAGGAATGAAAAGGCTGAGCGGTAACTGGAAGGCAGAGCAGTTTCAGTGATGTTACTCTAGTCATTTAAATTTAGTAAAGTTCTTTAGTCCTTGTGACTGTTAGTCCAAAGATGTCAGCCAGATTTTAAGAAGGGTCCCACTACTGTTGAGACTGCAAGAAGGCAAAGAGGGCAAGAGAAGATACAAGGGCCGAGGGTGGCAGAGAGCAGAGGCAACGTGATTCTCAGAGAAATGAAGAGTGAACGGTAACTACATTGATTCAACCCAGTTCAGAGTTAAGATGGGAGTAAATTAGCGGCAAACTGAAAATACTGTGAGAAAAGTAATTCTAAGTATACTTAATTCCTAAATTACATTGCCCAGGAATTCTTTGTAATCAATGTTTCCTAAAGCTTATGCTTGGAATTATACCTATAACTCCAGCAGGCCGAGGAAAAAGGACTGCCATCAGTTTGAGGCTAACTTGAGCTGCACAGAGAATTCCATGTAACCTATAAGGATGGGTTACATAGTGAGACCCTGTCTCCAAAACAAAACAAAAGTTGCTTATGAATTACCCGCAAGTTCTAAGAAGCCAAGAGGCTACTCTTCCTAGAAGTCTAGGAAGCCAGGCCCCAGAGCCAGAGGCTACAGAATTGACTGTAGAAACTTGGGCTCATTGCAAACTATAAACTCGGAACTGAGGCACACGCTTGTTTAGTATATGTACCCATGGTTCTGTATGAGGGGCCCCAGCAATGAATTCAATTCCCAACTGTGCTTCATTTAAATGCATACTTTGATTCTTATTAACTACATAATTACAATCACAATCATTTGAACTTCTACTTAAAGCAGTTCATGTGTCACAAGCTATCATGCAGTTATCTAATTTTATTAGTATTTGGTACAGTGCATAGATTGGACATTACCACACATTTTATGGTGCCGCCTAGCTTGGCAAATAAATATCAACTTGATGTTTTATAGGACTTTTAAAGCAAAACTAGTTTGCTCATAATATTTTTATAAGAGATTAGATCACATCTAAGAAGTGAAGACAGTCAGCCACATTCTGCAAGCATGTGAGAATTAGATCCTCTCTACAGGCAGGATAATTGCATAAACATCATTTGCCACTACATTATTCCTCACTTAGAATTTTATTTCTAGGGCTGGAGAGATGGCTCAATGGTTAAGAGCACTGGCTGCTCTTCCAGAGGACCCAGGTTCAATTCCCAGCACCCACATGGCAGCTCAAAACTGTCTTTAACTATAGTACCATGGGAGCCAATGAACTCTTCTAGTGTACAGACATAGAAGCGGACAAATCGCCCATACACAATAAATAAATAAATCTTTAAAAAAAGAATTTTATTTCTAGCTGGATGTACTGGTGCACACCTTTAAACCCAGCACTAGGAAGGCAGAGGCAGGAGGATCTCTGTGAGTTCGAGGCCAGCCTGGTCCACATAGTGAGTTCCAGGACAGTCAGCCCTACACAGTAAACTCAAACAAACAAACAAAAGGAGAGTTTTAATTTTAATATATCAGCGTTAGCTTGAAGACCGTATTTATTCTTGGTAAAAGGCAACTATTCAAAACTCACACACAACCTAAGTGTTCTAGGCTCAAATGTAGGAGAGGAAGTGGAGGTGGGAACCCCGCCATTCCATCTGCTGCAGAAATGCATTAACAATGGTATTCTAGGTACTACACTCTGCCACACAGGGACACCTCGGGAACAAAGTACTGATGCCACAGCAAGTGACAGGCTTTCATGGGACACAGATCTGTCTCACCAATAAAAATCAAGTTTCCAAATTAATCTCTGTTACTTCATCTTCTGGAACACCAAAATTATTTATCTATTAGTATAGTAGCTCTCTACTAAGGACTCCATAGAAGCCACTGGGATTCCTCACGTAGAGGCTGCTCTACTCAGATCAGATTCAGTCCCAGACTGGGATTGAAGTGACAGTTCCTAGTCCAGTCGAGCAGAAAAAGCAGTTCAACTTGGCCTCTTCGTTCCTTGCTCAACTCTGCTCCAAACATTGTTTTTCATTTTTGCATTATTTTCTAGGGGGAACAGCTATCATTTAAACACTAAACATGCAATGGTTTCAATGGGAATGTCTGCTCAAGTGACTGCAAATGTACACGCCATTCTCAGATTGTAGTAGGCCAAGTAAAGTTAGTTCTGTATTGACTTCTAAGATCTTTCTCCTTTTCTCGTTTTGAAAATTGGCATACACAGTAGAGAATCATCACAGCATTTTGAGCAGGATGGGTTTTAGTAGATTCTCCTTCCCATCAACTCTCCCACCCCCTGCCACCCTTGGTCCTCCTCTCGTGCCCCCCTTTCCTCTTTCATGTTTCATGTGTCCTTATGCTCACTCATCCTTACACACCACACACACACACACACACACACACACATACACACTCGCGTTGGGATGCATATATGAAAGAGAACACGTGGTTTCTGTCTTACTGAGCTTGAGTTTCCTCACTTAATATTGTACTTTCCAGATCCATTCATTTTCCAGAAAATTTCATTTTTTGTTACCATTGAGTAAAATTCCAGCTCTCCTCTGAGGCAAGCTCCTAGCCCCGTGCATTTCTGCTACAGCAGGCTGACATTTTGAAAATTAACAGACAGTAGTTTTCGGCCCATATGAGATACCTGTTCCCTCATTTCTTTCATTTTTTCCAACCTCTTGAGTTTTGTGGCATATTCTTGAACTTCTTTTAATCCAATATCTGTGCAGAGACGAACCAAGAAACGCAAACCTAAATTAAAACAAAACGAAACAAAACAAGAAATATTTAGGAAAGGAAAGATGTACAGAGCAGTTTCAACCCAACAATGAAAGCCTGACCTTTTGGCAGAGGCTGGATGCAGACAGCATTCTATTTTCTCTTAAAACATAATTATAGCCTGGCAGTGGTGGTGCACGCCTTTAATCCCAGCACAAGGAAGGCAGAGGCATGTGGATCTCTGTGAGTTAGAGGCCAGCCTGTTCTACAGAGTTCTACAGAGGGAGTTCCAGGACAGCCAGGGCTACATGTGAGAGCTTGTCTCACGCGCCCCCCCCCCCCCCCCCCCCCCCCCCCCCCCCCCCCCCCCCCCGCAAACTCATTACACCTTGCAATCTCAGACCTGGGAGAACTGACTTCCTTGTTGGTGACCTGCCATGTCCTCATGTCACCAGATCACAGAAAGAGCACAGCACAAGGGACTCAATGGATGAGAACTCAGAGCTGCAATATCTGTTAATGTGCCAATGACAGATACACACACATAAAGATTCGTAAGGGAGACTGGGCTACAAAATGGAGAGTGTACAGAGGAGGAGGAGGAGGAGGAGGAGGAGGAGGAGGAGGAGGAGGAGGAGGAGGAGGAGGAGGAGGAGGAGGAGGAGGAGGAGATTACCGGTAAATGTTCTTTTTACTGTTGGTAAATTCATTCTTTTAATCAACATTATTTGCATTAACAGAAACATACACTTTATAGTTGGGTTTGAAGCCAACATCAAATATGTATAATTACAAGAGAGGGTGGATGTGTACACTTGAGTTGATACCCAGGTGAGGAACTAGAGTAGGTCTACACTCTGCCTCTGCCTATCCCCATCCATCCCACACTTCCACTCCTGGAATGTCTGTGTGTATGGTCATCATGTCACTGCATAAAACAGTACTAAATACTTAAATACATCACTTAAATACATTTCACTCAACATATTTAGTTGGGCTTACACAAATGATTTGTTTATTTAGAGACAAGGTCCATGTACTCTAGGCTGGCCTCAAACTTTCTAGGCAGCTGAGAATGACCTTCAACCCACATCTGTCCTGCCAGCAAGATGTGCTGGGGCAATGGTGGCTCAGAGCTTGTGGGAGTGGCCAACCAATGACTGGTCTAACTTGAGGCCCACTCCATGAGAGGGAGCCCATGCTTGACATTGCCTGGATGACCAGGAACCAGAAGCTGGACAGCCCAGAGACCTAGGGTAGAACCAAATATGACTGACAAAAAAAAAAAGTCAATGAAACGATTCCTAATGATATTCTGTTATACTCACAGATCAGTGCCTAGAACAACAGCCATCAGAGAGGCTTCCTCTGGCAACTGATGGGAGCAGATGCAGACACCCACAGCCAAACATTAGGCAGAGCTCAGGGAAACTCAAGGAACGGAAGTGGGGGGGGGAGATTGTAGGAGCCAGAGGGGTGGAAGACACCAGGAGAACACACTGATAGAATCCACTAAGCAGCGCCCACAGGGGCTCAGAGACTGAAGTGACAATCAAGAGCAGCCAGCATGGGTCTGCACCAGGTCCTCTGTATATATGCTGAGGTTGTTTAGCTTGGGGTTTCTGTTGGAGTTGGGGTGACTCTGACTCTTTTTGCCTGCTCTCGGGACTGTTTTCCTCCTACTGGGTGGCCTTGTCAAGCCTTGATATGAAAGTTTGTGCCTAGTCTTATCGTGTCTTGTTATAGTGTGTTCGAATGATGTCCCTGGAAGGCCTGCTCTGAAAGGAAACAGAGGAGCCGGGGGTCTGGGGGAGAGGGTATGCGAGTGTGGAACTGGGAGGAGTGGAGTGGAGAGGCTGTGGTTGAGATGTATTGTATAAGAGAAGAATAAATAAAAAGAAAAATGAAAAAAATAACCAGCTAGTTGTGGGGTTTTTTTGTTTTTGTTTTTTGTTTTTTGTTTTTGGAGACAGGGTGTCATGCATGTGGACCAGAGTGGCCTACAACTAATTATGTAGCTGGAGCTAGCCTATGACTTCTAACCCTTCTGTCTCTTACCTCCCAGACAAGCAACACCATACCAAGCTTCAGCAACACTGGGGATCAAACTTAGGGCTCCTGGGTTACTGAGTAAGTGCTCTACCAACTACATTATATTTTAACCCCTAAAAATAAGTTTCTAATACCTGAAAAATATTTATGATGTGCTGAAATTGTATTGATTTAATTGAAAAAGTAGTTCCAAAATGTGTATTTCCAAAGCAGAAGACCCCACAAATCCAAACTTCCAAACACTCAGAGGCTCATGAGAGCTAACTCCTCCAGCTTCCAGGGAGCCTGTACTGGCTTCCACTGGCAGGGCACATGGGTTTCTGAGTCATTTCTGTAGGAGCGGGGCGCTGCTCACACAGTAGGTGTGCTGGTACTGCAATGTCTAACAGAATCAGCTCGGCACTCTTCTCCTGCTCTCACTGTGCTGCCCAGGCTGTTTGCCTAGCTTCCTGCAGTACTGCTGGGCGGCAGGCACCTACCATCTGGCCAGGCTTAAACCATACTTCTTAACGGCCTTAGAGTAAGGAGGCATACAGCATAATCCACAACTATCATCAAAATTATACTTTATAATTGCTAGCTAGATGTTAAAAACTAGTTTCTTTTCTTTCTTTCCTTTTTTTTTTTGTTTTTTGCTTTTTGTTTTTCTGAGACAGGATTTCTCTGTGTAACAGCTCCAGCTGTTCTGGAACTCACTCTGTAGGCCAGGCTGGCCTCAAATCCACAGAGATCCACCTGCCTCTGTCTCCCTCCCAAGTGCTGGGATTAAAAGCGTGCACCACAACTGCCTGGCTTAGTTTCTATCCTCACTTGATTGAACAAAGGAAAAAAAAAAACAAAACCCGTTTGGGCTCTAAAGTTTGCCTCAGCTTTCTAGTGAACTTCCAAATTAAGTTTCAAGCCAGGCTTTTACTTCTCCAGGAAGTGAGATGAGCACAGTTGCTAGGCCAAGTTTCTAAGACTATGGCTCTGCCGTGTGCACGGCACTGCTGACAACCACCTGGTCTGGCTCTCTTTGCAGATGAGGAGATGGGTTCTTTTTCTGTTCTGGAATGTTTTCTTCTACTATATCTCTGATTTCTGCTTTCATTACCATTATCCATAGTCTTTGGCAACACCTTCAATCCTGAGATTGTCTCTCTTGCTTGTCTTTTTTGTCTCAATTGAACATTTGTACTTAACTTTAAAATTATTATTATTATTGTGTGTGTTGAGAGTCAGTTTTCTCTTTTCACCGTGTGTTAGGGTGCAGGGGGTGGGATGGGTAAACTCAGGTCATCAGGCTCAGGCGTTACCCTCTGAGCCTTCTCTTCAGCCCTCTCTTGTCTTCTTTATCAAATTCTTTCTTCTCTTACTTTGGTTTTCTCTGTAAAAACCTCCCAGTTTTCCAAACACTTGACTTTAATTCTACCACATGCTTTCAGTTTCCCAAAGAGCCTTCTCTGTGAGCACACCTGCCAACACACTTCTTCTGTGTTGTCCTCTGGTCTTTTTATTTTGGTCTATAACTTTCTGTTTCTGAGACTGAAGGGGCTAAATATTTCTCTACATTCTCTTCTGGTTCCTATAACAATTTTAATAAATTATTATGAAAACAATAAGTTAATAAATTATCAATAAATTAATAATACCACTTTATTATTAATGATTACTAATATGCTATATTAGCAATATAACTATTAACTTATATTGTGATCAAATTCTAAAAAGTTGTTTATATTTCCTGGTAAATTGTACTTCCCATCATTCCAAGCTGGCTTTCTCCCCTTTCTGTGGCTCAGACGAGGAGAGCTTTATCCAGACTCCGTATTTGCCAACAGAGAAGAGTGCAGCCTTCTCTTGGTCCTGGTCCTTCTCTACAAGCACTCTGGCACGATGTCCTCTTTGTTCAGACAGTTGACTCCTCTCTTCCATATGCAGTGTTCCAGTACTTCTCAGGATTAACCCATCCACTCTCCACGGATGACTCCATCCCACAGTCGTCCCTGTTCCAGTACTTCTCAGGATTAACCCATCCACTCTCCACGGATGACTCCATCCCACAGACGTCCTTGTTCCAGTGCTTCTCAGGATTAACCCATCCACTCTCCACGGATGACTCCATCCCACAGACGTCCTTGTTCCAGTGCTTCTCAGGATTAACCCATCCACTCTCCACGGATGACTCCATCCCACAGTTGTCCTTGCTCCAGTACTTCTCAGGATTAACCCATCCACTCTCCACGGATGACTCCATCCCACAGTTGTCCTTGCTCCAGTGCTTCTCAGGATTAACCCATCCACTCTCTACGGATGACTCCATCCCACAGACGTCCTTCCTCATTGCTATGCTCCCTGGCACTTCAGTTTCTCCTTTTCTACTCCCCTGTTACCTGCAGCCAACAAATGGCCACTCTTCATCCTTACGGAGAAGCTTCCCTAGACCACTCCTTATGCCCACCTCTCATTTCACACCCGATGCTCTTCTGTTTCTGCCTCTACTTCCCCAATGACTTTCCAAAATCAGGGGCTTCGGGTCGCTAACGTCTACGATTTTTTCTCAGTGCTGCATATGAAATCCAGGGCATCCGGATATAATGCAAGCGCTGCCACTGAGTGACAGTCGCAGCCCCGAGCTTCACAAGCCATTGTGTCTTCCTCAAGTCCATCTCCCTGTCTTCGGGGCACCGTTCTTGCTTGCTCTTCTGACCTCCCTTCTCTACCCATGTTTCCTCTACTTCCTTCTATCCATGTTTCGTCTACTTGGACGTCACTGCTCTGCAGGTCCACTCCAGCCTATTAATTTATGATCCGTCCTGGGGTGTCTCACCCCTTTATCAGCCTCAGCCAAGCTACATTTTAATAATTAAAGATGCACATTCCTCCTCAGTGTTTACCACAGTCTACATATCACTGTGACTTTGGCAGAGGAGTTCGGATAGCTCAACCAAATCATAAGACCCAAGAACACCTGCCCCACGCTGACATCACCACCCCCAACT